ACTTCTATTATTAATTTTTTTTTTTTTGATAGTCATATACGGCTAAACATTATTAGGATGGAAATTTAAATTTTTTAAAATTGTTTGTATTGCGTAAAATTAAGTTGAATTGAATTTTTTTTAAAAAATTTGTATTTACCAGATGAATTTGATTTTATATATATATATATATTTTAAATATTAAGGTGAGTACTTAGACTCTTAATGCTTTGTTAGTACTGAACATAATGCTTGGCGCAGATTAAGCCATGTAACATTTATATTGTGAGAGTACAACTAGCCACACATACAACTTTTGGTTGCCTATTTAAGTAGTCCACCCTAAGGTTTTACACTAGTAGCTGTACCTGTAATCTACTAAGAGATTACCCATTTAAACCCTCTAACCCTATATCTATACTATGATGTTTACATCTAATCTTTTTATTTTAGGATCTGAGACTTTAACCTCTAGCACCCAGTTTCTTCTTCAGAACCAAAAAGGCATTTATTCCTGTATTAAACCTGTTGAAATAATATATATTTTATATATATACTTATCCAGACTTTTAGTAATTTATGCTATAGCTTTATCTATATACTCAGAAGTTATTCATCTCTATGGTTATTTACTAATATCTTTGCAAAGTTTGATATTTAAATTCTAGTACCCACTTCTTATTTCTTTTATACCTTGTATTATTGGTTTTCTTAACTCTCTAATCTAATTGGCCTGGCAGAGTTGGTCTTCCCAGGCTTTAAATACTTTCTGGGTCTCCTTTTTTTGATACATGCTTTCAGAATACATGTCCTTTTTCTCTAATATGACTCTGATAGCCAGATTAATAGATTTCTTTATTATAAGATCTTTTGGCCAATTTTATCAATTCTTTAATTCAATTCAGATCTATTTTGTGATGCTATCAAAGATCTTCACTACTTCTTTGCTTAAATCTTGCCAAGCTGATTTCAAATTTTTAAGTCCTTTTTATCTAGTGCATGAGATATATTAGTATGAATGAAGTTACAAGTAATAGAATCTGACTTATTGATAAAAATCTATTACTATAATACAAATATTTTTGTCCAAACCATCACCAGTGAAATATGAACTTAGTATTATAGTTAAACTAGCTTAAAATATAACAATTCTACTACTACTCTAAGTTGCTACATTTTAAATTTGATTTTATACTAAAAAAAAATTAAAATAATTTTTTTTTAAATTGTTAATTAAGTGATTATAATAAATTACAAATAAAAGGACTAATACTTATTATATAATTATAGCCCTCTTAGATCCAGATTTTTGAATCTTCTTAAAACCAATCATTCAAATTAGATATTTTAACAATAACAAGTTTTAAAATAATTAATTATAAATTCTAAAGTAATTAATTATAAATATATAGTCAAACTTCTCTAAGTGTACTTTCTATAAGTGCATACTTTCTCTAAATACATGCTCAAGTGCTAGCCCAAATATATACTTAACTTTCATAAATGCACCTTTTCTTATTATTTTCTATATATATATTATTAAAGTGTAGTTTCAAGAGTGTGTACTTAGAGAGGTCTAACTATAGTATATTTTATATATTTCTTGTATATTTTGTATAATTATATACAATTTATATATAGCTATATATAATTATACATAATACAAAAAGTATATAAAATATATAAGAAATATATAAAATATACATTATTTACTTTAAAATCTATGATTAATTACTTTAAAACTTATAATTATTAAAATATTTAATTTGAATAATTGGTTTTAAAGAGGTTTTAAAAACCTGGATCTAAGGGAAGGCTATAATTATGTAATAAGTATTAATCTTCTAAATAAATAATTTACTAAAAAGATTATTTAATCAAATACTCTTTATTATTTTAATTGAATTTAATTATATATTGCAAAATTATTTAAATATATAATTGTTATAATATTTTTTTAAATTGTTAAGAATAGAGTGTATATAAATCATTTATCATATGATTGGGCAATATAGAATAATATAAAATTAAATATATAAAAATAGCTATTTATATTGATAATAAAATTATACTTTTCAAATTACTATAACCTCTAATAATTATCTATCACAAAAAAGTCTAAAAATTTAATGCTATGTCATAAATCAATCTAATTTTGTTTTTTATTTTTTTATTATAAAGTTAGTAATTTAAAGATTGTTATTCAATTTCTGAAAGTTATTTTCTTAAAAAGACACTTACCAGCATTATATAAAGTTAGAGTTAGGGTTTGTATTTGGGTTGTTACATAGCAAAACCATGCTTAGAATATATATATATTATATATTCTAAGCATGGTTTTGCTGTGCAACAACCTATTTGGTTATATATTTTTAGCAGATTATCACCCTGTGTAATATTGGGTAGGAAATAACTTTCAGAGAATCATATCGTAACTTAATTTGAAAGCATGGTGATTTTTGTTAATTTATATTGTAATTTTTAGTAAATAGTACCCTGAGTCTCTTAAATTCTAAATCTTAAAAATTGATTAGCACCCTCTCGAACTGGAAATTTACTATTTAATTTGACTAAATTAATATTAGGCAGGCACTTTAACAAGGGATACTATTGGCTGAAAATTAAGGTATTGTCCAGTGTCTATTTTTCTTAATCCATTGCTTTTTACTAAACAGTTCGAACACTGGACAGATTTCCGATTGCCCAATTGTCCAGCAGCCCAACCTTGGAATTTTTTTTTTTGAATTTATAAAAATTTTTTAAATTTTTTGTTATTTGTAATAGCGATATTGCCGATATATAGTAAATTTAAAAATCAAAAATTCTATAGTGACTTTATAGCTATTGTAATTATTGTAACTACAAGTTACTATATAGGACAAAACTGCATTGAAAATTATAATCTAAAATCGTAGTAAAATCTATAAAATATTTATTAATTTATGTTATTAATCAGATGAAATTGTTGAAATAGTTGATCTAATAACTAAGAAACCTTTAGATTTTCGTCTATAGCAAACATCTTAAAAATGCCTAGCTTATCTGAAGTAACTACTGTTGAATCCGAAATATCTAACTTATCTGAAGCGAAAACTAAAATAGTAATATCGACATACATTATCTTTGCCATCAGCAAGATATGTAAATTATTACGTAATCGCTCATTATCGAAATCATTTCTCTGCCATTATATTATTCAATTATATTATTTAAGCTATTCCTCTTAAACTTTCTTATACACGTACTTCTTTAAACCACATTATACTTTTTATTTTAATTAATTGCCAATCACGTTATAATGATACATCTGACTTCTCCGGGACTATTACTGTATTATGATTTGGAATTATAAATCGATTAAACCAATAGACCAATAGACAAATTATGAATAGACATATTATCTATTTAAATTTTTATTTAAATAGACATTGTTAGTCGCATTTAGGCAAAAAAAATATATTCATGAATAGACATTAGACAATTTGACCATTAGCAATTGGACAATAACATTTTTGATTAGACCATGTTTATTCACAACAGGGCGACCATAAAAAATGCAGTAACGTGATCATGATATTTGGCCTGCATTAATCTAATTTAGGCCGATGGTTTTCAAAATTCTAATTTAAGTTTTAAATTTTTGAACCGAAAAAAAAGAAATTAGCCGTTCGTGGTAAAGTTATATCGCGAATATTTTTTCTGTATATAAAGTTGTGTGCAAATTGGGTAAAATTCACCTTAATTTTTTTCAGATCATGTGAAATTATTTATTCGAAATATGTATGAATACAGTAATAATAATTAAATTAGCATCTCCGCCATATCGATCATATCATGTAATATGGGTGGTGAATTTTCACCCAATTTTGTGTGCAGTTTTGGTTTAGCTGCATCAAAAGTCACGTTACTGCGCTTTTTATGCCCATAGCTGCCGCAACAAAATTGTACGGCAGATCCTCGATTTTGATTGGCTAACGGCCGAGGATCTTCAAAATTTGGCCCGCATTACATAATTGTTTACCAATTTCCGGCCGGAATTAACTTTTTGCTTTTTCATTACAAAAATAGAAATTTCTATAAAATAAGCCCGCAGTATGGTAAAATTGGAGTAATTCCGGCCTAATTTTTTGATCGTCGCTCTTAGCCAATCAAAATCGAGAATCTGCCGTACCAATTTGTTGCGACGGCCTGCGTAGAGGTTGTCTGCGCCCTTACACTAGCTTCGTGGCTCGGTATAGAGATTTGAACGGTAGGAAAACGTTGAAGGTCCCTACCACGCCACCAAATTCCACTAATTTAGAGCCTACAAGAAAAGACTCTATACTAATTCACCACATTTTGTTTACACGGATCAGCCCGACAGGTAAAAAGCCTGACTTTTATTGACTCATTTAAATTTATAGTAAACTGGCCCGAACAAATTAACTTTAATTGACCTAACGCAAACGAAAAATCCCATGTGCACGTACAAAGAACTATACGTTATGCTTTATATGACAATATTATTATTTACCTGTTTGGAAAGTAAGATAACGATCTATTATACGTTTGTCATGTGAAAATACATAAAAGGCAATGAACGAAATGGAATTCTAGTGGTTCCAATTCTGCATTCTGCTTCTTTTCTTTCTTAAAAAGAGTTCTGGAATTTAATAAAAGCGCGGTTCAATATAATTCCATAATCTTGAATTCCCGAAAATAGTTATTTTAAGAAAAAGTTTCGGTATAATGTCGGATATTTAACCGGTTTCTATCAAACTCCATTATAAAAGAAAATGCCCCAACTGTTTTTCAACAAAAAGTGTAGCAGATTTGTCCAACCTTTGTTTATCGGATCATTTCCTAATAGATTGTGTACCTAAATAATTTTTTGTTTCATTTTTTAATCGATAGAAAAAAAAAGAAAAAGTCGTGCTCTACGACATACCGTGTTTCCCTAATTGTAGTGTAAATATAAGAATTTATTAAAGGGTTCACCGTAAAAATACTACCTCGCATACATTTAAGATCTTCAATCAAACATGTCAGAACCATCGGAACCGATACTTATAGATCCGCAAGATGAGCCGATCATTGATACCTTCGATCTTGTCTTCCTTCTTTCTGCTGGTGTCATTGCTGTTTTATATCTTTTCCGGGACACTTTATTTGGCCCTAAAAAGTCTCCTGTCATAAATCAACCAGTCCCACAACCTAGAATTGCGCCAAAGAAGGACAAAGATTTTATCAAAAAGATGAGAAATACAGTATGTCATTATTTCTTTTATCCAAATTACAGTGTTTAATTTGATCGGTTAACGATTGAGAATCATTAAATTCTAATCCAATTGTGTAATTAATGTTTTGATAGGATAAAAACGTTGTTCTTTTTTACGGATCACAAACCGGTACAGCTGAAGATTATGCTTCTCGTCTCGCAAAAGAAGGTCTACAACGTTTTGGTTTAAAGACTATGACTGTCGACGTTGAAGATTGTGACATGACTCTTCTTGATAAGTTTCCAGATAATTGTTTGGCGTTCTTTTTGATGGCAACTTACGGTAATTGTTTTTTTATTACACATTAGATTTTTGAATCTTTTTAGTGACAGTTTTTTATATGAATTTTTACATTAATTAAGGTGAAGGTGAACCTACTGATGATGCAGTCGAATTCTGGGAATTGATAAACTCGGATAATCCAGAATTTTCCGAAGGCATATCAATAGAAGAAAAACCATTGTCAAACCTTCGATACGTCGTGTTTGCTTTGGGTAACAAAACATATGAGCATTTCAATGCTGTTGGAAGACTTGTTGATGCCAAATTAACAGAGTTTGGTGCTACAAGAATTGGTGAGCGTGGTGAAGGTGATGACGATGGCAGTTTAGAAGAAGATTTCCTTGGTTGGAAGGAAGATATGTGGAAGGCAGTCTGTGATGCCATGAGTATTGATCCTAATGATGCACAAAATGGGTATGTTTAATTTATTTAACTACAGCATTTCATATATAATCTAAATAATTATTGCGAATTTTATAGAGCTCATGTTGCCGCCTACAAGATTACTGAATTGGGAGATTACGATAACGATAATGTATTCTATGGTGAACTTAGCGAAAATGCCCTGAAAGTTGGAACGTAAGTTTAATTGTATATTTAACGAATAATAAATTGGGTAGGTTTTATTTCGCAGAAGACTTCAGATTAATATGATAATTTCATTATTCAGGCGTGTCACCTATGACGCAAAGAATCCTTATCCATCACCAATAACAGCTTCTCGAGAATTGTTCAATGCAACAGACCGTAATTGCGTGCATATGGAATTAGACATTACTGGATCAGGTCTTTATTACCAATCAGGCGATCATGTTGCAATCTGGCCTATGAATCCAGAACAAGAAGTTTATCGCTTACTTAAAGTATTGGGACTTTGGGAGAAAAAAGACACTGTTGTCACAGTCGAAAGCACAGATCGTAAGTATTAAATATAAATATATTCAATATACAGGTCACCCTCGTTACAGTGAAGTGATCGGTTCTATCAATAAAAAAAATTTTTAATAAGTTCATGTATCGAGAATTTTATTAGTAAATTCACTATATCGAGATAATTCTATATATACTGGTTTTGAGTCTAACTTCACTAGGTCGAGAGTGCACTATAACGAGAGTGACTTTTATTTAATAAGAATAGTTATTTCACGTTTTATCATAGATATCATTAAACATCGAGATATTATTCATCATTGTGGCGCAGCCGCAATGATGAATGATATCGAGATTGATTTTAATGATATCGACGACAAATACGTGTAATAACTGATTTATTACACGGATCCTAATTGTTCACCCATGACTTTTTTTTACCGATGCTTTCACGGTTGATATTTCACGGCGGACTTAAATCCTTCGTGAAAATATTAACCGTGAGAATATCGTTAAAAAAGGTCATAGGTGAATAATTAGGTGCCGTGTAATAAATTTAAAAAATTATCGTCATTATTTTAATCATTATATTATTAATAATAAATTGAATCTTGTACTATTGTACAGCATCGGCATCTAAAAAGTACCCATTCCCAGTCCCTACTACGTATGCCACGATCTTTCGTAATTATCTTGACATTCATGCACCGGCCTCCCGTCAATTTATTGCCACTTTGGCGAATTATGCACCTACCGAAGAAGGCAAATCTAAACTCACTACTTTAGGGCAAGATAAAGAAGCTTACCGAATTGAAGTTGCCGATGCCCACTTAAATCTTGGAGAAGTTCTAGAACTGATATCTTCGCATGGCAAGCCATTGGATTGCATACCATTAGATTTGATAATAGAAACCTTACCAAGATTGCAATGCAGATATTATTCAATTTCCAGCACATCTAAAGTCACACCAACATCTATTCATATTACTGCATCAGTTTTACGATATCAACCTTTAACTACACCTGAAAAAACGGTTTACGGTCTAGCAACAAATTACATCCAACAAGTTCATCGCAAACTCAGTAATATTGCACACCCAGATACGTCACCATACTACTTGTACTCTGGTCCTAGAGACAAGTACTATGATGAAAGTACCAACATGGTTAAATTTGCCATACATGTTCGAAATACGAATTTCAAATTACCCAAGAACCTCAAAATTCCAGTTGTAATGGTAGGTCCTGGTACTGGTGTGGCACCTTTTCGAGGGTTCGTTATCGAAAGAGCCAAGTACAAGTCCGAAGGAGATGAAATTGGTGATACGGTTTTGTTTTATGGGTGTCGAAGACGTAACGAAGACTTTTTATATGCTAATGAGTTTGAAGAATTATTCACTACTCTTGGTGAAAATGGAAAGCTATTCACAGCATTCTCAAGAGAACAGGTATTTTATTTTTTTATTTTATTTTAGAGTTAATTTAGATTTCATAATTTACCGTATCCTGCCGTGAATAAGCACCCTGGTGAGTTAGGCGACTTTATGTATCTGAATTAGGTTATACCTCGTTAATTCGTATTTATTTGCTGATTATTTATATTCTAATTTCAAGCTATCTATAACTGTAATAAAGTATTCTCAAATCAAGCAAAGCAAAAACAATAATTTCGCTTTTAATACATGTCAAGCAATTAATACAAGTTTTTTCTTTCTTGAAAATTATCTAATGCCTTGGAACTTCAGCACAATTATAATATTGCGAATTCATTATATTTTAATGACTTCTTTTTGTGTATTCAAATCAAAACTTTACATAAATTTGTTTTGCTAATATAGTCTTATATAAATAATATAAAATTATCTAGTAACATTATGAATTACAAATCAATATTATTAAGCATGTTCAAAGTCAGAATCATCGGAGTTATATTAAATCTCAAACCCTAAAACGTAACTGATTTTTAGGGCGATGCTTGGTTCGTGGAACCGCATGAACTGCTTGAGTTACTCTATAACCGAATTCACTACAAGTATTAATTGAAAATACACAACACTAACTCCATACATCTTCTTGATATCTTCCACGGTTCCTTAAATCCTTGACATACGCTATCGCACTGTTTTCATCCATACCACCACATGCTTGCGCTATCTGGATAAGTGCATTATTTACATCACGTGCCATGTTTTTAGCGTCACTACAAGTTGGAGGGAATAATTAGCAAAAATAAATAAATAAATAAATAATAATAATAATAATAATAATAATAAAAGAACATACCCGCAAACGTAAAAATAGCACCCTCTCGAACTGGAAATTTACTATTTAATTTGACTAAATTAATATTAGGCAGGCACTTTA